AGCTTAATTACTTTGTCTATTTTCTTTCTAGCATATATATATATATATATATATATATAGAACTTCGAAATGTTTTGCTATTGTTACTGAAAGAATCCTTTCAGACTTAAAATTCTGCTTGTAAGTAATATTAAATAAATGAGCTGTATTGAAACTTTTTTTTAATGATATTATACTGATCCTTGCATTCGCGAGTTTATTTCTTTCCCTTTCTTATTCAACATTCCCCTTGTTATTTTGTAATTCATCGTTTAGCAAAAGAAAGAGTATTTTCAAAAGATGAGAAGTTTCACCCCCAAAGCCTTTTTCGTGTATTTAGTTCTGGCGCTGCTCCTGTTTCAGCCCTTTGTAGCACATCATGCCGCTGCTAAGACCATCGTCGTCGTGGATGTGGACGGCAATACAAATAATTATGTTGCACTCGCGACCATCCTGGTGCATCGCGATGTCGCCGACAACCTACGTCTTGTAACGGTGAATGGAGCAACCTTTGGCTATGCCTCCACGGTTGTACAGAATATCTGCAGTTTCTTGTCACTCGCGGGGAGGCCATCCGTCCCTGTGGCGATGGGGCAGGTATCCGCTTTGGTTGATGCCTATAACTCAGAGACGCATATTGGCGACTGTAAGCGTAAACAAGGCTTTCCAGCTACACCACATGATGCCTCATTGCGTGGAATGCTGTACTCGAAATCCGACGTTACCTCGGCTTTTGGACAGACCTACCAACTTCCCCGTACTGCCACAGAGGCGGAAAACTGCATGCTTACGATCGATAGTGCTACAAATAGCTTCCTAACACTCGTTCGGCAGAGCACCACGGGTGATAAGATTGTCTACCTCCAGCTTGGAAGTAGCACGAACTTTGGAAGAATTTTGGATGCTCTAGTGAACTCGAATATTTCGAGCTCTTTGTTTTATAGCCTCGTGCAGGTCCATGCGTTTGAATCTGGGTACAACGGTGGCGCCGATGGTGAGGCTATGGGCAAGTTGTTGGGCGATAAAAATCTCACGTTATACTTATACCCACCCAGCTTCTACTCACCATCTCCAGCATTTAATGATACCACGTGGAAGCGATTCATAACTATTCCTCAGAGCCCATCGTCTACTGAGTTAGTTAAATGGCTGTATGAAGTACTAGATGCAAAGAAAAAACTTGTTGAAAATCGAGGCAATTCTATGGACTTTTACAACGAATTCGACCTTGCCAGTAGTCTAGTAACTCTTTGTGCTCTGGATGAATCAATTGAGAACCTTTGCAAGAAGTATCGCAATACGGCATCGGCGATTTCGTTTAACTACACTCTTCCCAGTAACGACGCTCGTAATTTGGTGCTTTCTATTTCTGGAAATAATGTGACAGCACCATTTTATTATAGGATCGAACCCTTATCTAGCGTCAATGGTTCTTCCAATCCTGTTAACAACAGAAATTTGAGTTTCTATAACGTATCTGCATCGGTAAAGGTAGACAACGCAGCTTCAAGTTTGGCCGATACGTTTTTGGAAATATGGTTGGTCCTATTGCAATCTTAGAGTTGTTTCATTTTGTCAATACTCTTTCTCTCTTTCTATAATTGATTATTTAATATTTTTACTGCGTTATTTGAAATAAAAGAGAGTAAATATCGAAAGTGTAAAATATTTAATTATTTTTGTGTATTGCTCGAATCAAGTTGTTTTGTATTGTTCGGAGCGTAATTTGGCGTGGTCCGGGGTTTCTACCCACAAAAGCTTTCTTTTTTATCTGTATAAAAGTAAAAATCGATTGAGCTCAAGGCGGGACACTAATCCTATTGCACGCTTTTTAGACAACTGTAGATAAATACGTACATTCATCTATATATATATATATATATATATCACACTCTAAACAGATACATGAATACTAAAATAAATCATTAATGCCTTTTTTTCAATGTGCTCTACATAACCACATGTGCTCTTCTGCGTTTAAGCGAAAGTATCCGACAAACAATATTATTTTTCTACCACATCGTGTATATGTGACTCAAATCGGTTTACGAGCTGTCAGTTCCATCTCGGCCGTTACTACATAGTATCCACCGTCATAGCTTGTCGTCAGCTGTATTAGTAGTCATGTTGTGATAAATGGTTGGCGATAGCCTTTCGTCTTGTATTGAATAAAGTGCTTTGTCTTTTAAATTAGCCTGCATACGCGGTTCCCGCATAGACGAAATAAGGCCAAAATGAAGCCTAGCCGCTTTCTGTTTTTTCCTTAACTGGACATTCTGTGCCCGGGGTGCTGACTTTTTATTCCAATTTTCTCCCCCCCCAAAGCAAAGATCAGTGATGATAGTATTGGAACTCCTAACAGCCGCATAGAGGTCAACTGTAACTTTGAGGCTAAACTGTCTTAGTTGATGCACGGGTAGGGTAAGACCGTATGCGATGAATCCGTTTTATGCATCGGAATAAAAGCCCTAAATGACATTACACCAGGCCATCAGGGGAGTGATCATTGTCATTAACATACTCATTCGTTCTGGAGACTACTCAAAGGAGTGGGAGCTTCAGTTAAATCCATTTTGTTTTCCAATATTCAGTAACTAATCTTACCTTTTTATCAACTCCGCGTTTACTCGCCGGCTTTTTTATCGTTAAACTTTACTTTCCTTCCCTTAACTCAGTTCGACAACATTGTGAACTTCCTTTTTGATTCTTGAAATTTAACTCATACTGTAGGTGCACCGATGCTGTTTGGTTGGTTATTATTTGTGGTTTCTACTATCTTTCTTGACAACTTTCTATTAGCGTTATTACACGGAGTTGACAGTTTCCTATTTTTTTAAATATTGGCAGTAATATTCTTATAAGTTGGGGTCATTTGAAATCACTAACGTATCTTACAGAATTATTTAGTCTGATTGTGCAACAATGATCTGGAAAGCGAGGTGCAAATCGGGGTCGAAAGTTCTTCTCTTCGTATTATTGCTTGCCCAACTGTTGACTGAGGTCCACGCCTTCCCCTTTGACAAGGCATCAGGAGTCACGGAACTCTCCCCCGATACCTTATTTAGGTTTGTACAATCTCATAAACCCACGGTGATTCTCTTCTATGCACCGTGGTGTGGGCACTGTGTAAAATTTCATGATGAGTATAAACAATTTGCTCATGCTTCCAAGGGCTCGATACGCGTGGGCGCGATCGATGCCCATGCACACCCATCTATTGCCAAACAGTTTAGTATCCAAGGCTTTCCAACAATCAACTACTGGAAGATGGGAACGAAGTCGATCTACAACCCTGATGAGTACCGAGGACCTCATACGTCTGCGTCCCTGATGTCAATGATGATAAGCGACATCCGATCCGACCGTGTGGTTCAGTCCGTTCGCACCCTAGAGGATATTCTCGATCTGATCCCGAAGTCACCCAGTGGGAAGCTGACCGTGCTCTTTTCGTCGAAGAAGAAGATTCCACCTATCTTCTCCGTCCTATCCCTCTCACCTCGGCTAAAGGATATGACTTTTGTGTTTGTTCGCGACGACGAAGCCAAAATCGGCTCCAAGTTTGGAATCACACAAATCCCGTCGGTGGCGGTGATCGAACCTTCCGCTGGCGACCCGTCGGGGCCCGCCAAGGCGGTGGTGTACCCCTCCAAGGCGTTTTCCTATGAGGCCCTCGCGCGGTTTGTTCTTTCCTCCCTCAAGGGGAAGTCCTAAAGGAGGGGGTGGTCCCCCTCTTCCCAGCCTCGGTGACGCCGCTCACTACGAGGCCCCTGGGAAACGTCCCCTCGTGCGTGATTGGTCTTGATGCCGCGCTGGATCTTGATCGGGCGAGTCCCTTCTTTCTGCATGAGCCCTTGATGTTCTTCAATGCCTCTGGGAGGAGGGATGGGCCTCGAGAGGTCCTGGCCGTGGTGTTTTCCTGTGTTATGGAAAAGGTCTTTCGATAAATAATCTGTTAAAATATCAGTTTATCGCTATTGCTCTGGCGTCAGACAAAGTTAGGAACTCCGCGTTATGGATTCTTTTATGATATTATGAATACTAACGAACTCACCAGTTTTTTCCAGGGGCTGCTAAACGGTGACCTCAATTTCCAGAAGCAATCGGTTCCATTTTTACAATAGGGTAATCATGTATTTGAATCTGATTCTTTAATGTATCCCAAGTCGATTTCATCGTTTTTCTATTCCTGAACTCAGTTTTTTATACATTGAAATGGGAAAAGCCACTTAAATTGTCCGGCAATTTAAACGTTACTCTTTTTGTTTTGTGTATCGAGAATTTCTTTCTTTTGCTCATTTTTCAGATTCCATGTGTATTACATGCATGTCTCTTTCCTTTTGACCCCTTGCCTTTCAACAACACGAGGTAAGGGCATCCTCGCAAAGTCGAGCACACAGAGTCTTGTATCAATCTTCTGCCAAGTATGAACAGCAGGGATAACAAAGTGTCTTTGTCGGAGCCTGAATCGTAGAGTCATGCATTCCCTATTCCGGTCGTGGAGCACCTACTGGCTGCCACTCTTCTCAAAAAGCATGCATGCTTGGCTCAAGAGGTGGGGGAGGGGTATTGGTGGGCTACACATGTGCGAGCATCTAGATTCACAAGAGAAAGAAATTGTGTTTCATGATTGGATAGTAGGCCAAAACCTACCTTCATTGTGTTAAAGGGCAAGAGATAGATAAAGCAAACAAGAGCAACAGATTCTTTTTATAAAGTGATGCCAGCGAAACCACGTTGGCAATTTAGATATTTCCTGAGAGCCCCTGCTTTAGACCCCGAAATGATCCTTCCCCAATGTATGCATTTTACAAATTTAATTACTTCCTCCTTCCCCTCCAAAACGTGATCCCAGAATTCAAAGTAAATCTTTTAAATAATATTTATATTCTAAGAATAAAGTTAGATAGGCTGCAGAATTTTATTTGAAGAGGCCTTCCTATTCAAATTTAAAAGTGTAAAACAAAGCTAGTAGACTATGGGCATTGGTAACTCCAATTACTTTAGAGTACGTAACAAAGAAAATCTTATCAACGATTTTGATCATATGAATTCACGGAAATTTGCATCTAAATCCAAGTTAGATTCAAAGTCGAAAACATCGATGGAGTTGGACGTCGGCTCTTCCCCTTCAAAACCTATAAAATCTTCTAAAAAAGCTACCGGAGCGACTTCGCAGGCGTCATCGAGCAAAAAAGGAGTAAGTTCCACTGGTAATAATTCCTATGTGCCTAGTTCTGGAGCCCATTCTCCGAAATCCGTCACGTTGACAGTTAATGAGCATAGCCGATACTCTGATGCGTCAGATTCGAGGAAAAATACCAAGCGATCGTTTGGAAATGCGGTTGGGGAGGCGCGATCGGGCCGACTTTCGCGGCGAGCTCAAAATGTTGTTGAACGGGTTGAGGGAATTCTTAGTCGATGCAAGGACTCTGCGAAGTGTAGTGGGATTAAACAACCGAGCCAAACTGGAGGCTCCTTGAAGGCTCAGCCTGGCCTTTCTCCCCCTTCGAAGGAAGATATCGCGATGTACGAGATGTTTGCTTTGTTGCACAGCAGTAGAATTGGTAGTTTTTATGCAAACCACCTGGAGCTGCTCTTGTCTAACCGTTCGTCTGTTTTTACTACTCCTGATTTTTCCCTAGACTGGAGCACGGTGGGCTATCAAATGTGTAGCGCGTACAGCCCAGGGACCATTGGACGAAGTTACCTTACTGTAAAAGATCCCCCTCCTAAGGATTCTGTGTCGATTCTGATGAAAAAGAACTCCCGATTTTCTGATCGTACACGCTCAAGGGATATGTCGAAGGGCACGCAGGATTCTCAGTACGTTCTGAAGGTGGTTAATTTTGTGCTTCGGAAGGAGGTTATGGATGCTGTTATTTCAGAGCAGCAGTTTTTAAAAAATACGTCCTGTGAAAACATTCTCGGGATAGTTGATGTGTTGGGTGATGACTACAAAGAGAATGTAATCATTGTGACGGAGTTTTGTCCGAGTGGAAACGTGTCCTCCTACGCGGGGAAGCTAGATGCGTGTCCCGATAAGCTTCTCCGAATTATCAACGATATCGCTCTTGGGCTGCGTTTTTTGAACTTCAACAACATTCATCATCATAATTTGAAGCTCGAAAATGTGTTGGAGATGCCCAATAATCGGTTTTGTATAGCCGATGCCGGGTTCGCGTCCTTCTTCACCACCCAATCCCCAGAGGCGCTTGTATTTAACGGTGAGTTGGGGTGCCTCGCGCCTGAGGTATTCAATGAAAATGGCCCGTACGCGGATGATACAGTGTATTTGTCGAGTCTTTCTGTAGGCAAGATCGATACTTGGGGGTTTGGGGTGTTCCTGTACTGCCTTGCGTATGGGAAAAAGCCGTTTTCTATTACAGAATGCGACTACAACGCAGCGAAGCAATGTCTTCTGACGACCGACCCTTGCTTTCCCACGAAGCCCTGGCCCTTTGAGGCGGACCTCTCCAAGGTCATTTCACTATGCCTCACGAAGGACGCGGCGAACCGACCAGACATCGAGGAGCTACTTCGCATGCCCTTCTTTACCGATTACAAATTTAGCTCCGGGGTGCAGGATATTTCGCCATTAATCAGGGGAACCCCTTCATTTAACCGATTTCACAGCGAGGCCATGCTGACGGGGTTTTCCAGCATGCACAGCACCACCCATCTTTATCAAAAGAGTGGGTACACGGTGGATCGAGTTCTTGGCCGAGGTACTCAGTCTGAGGCTTTTCTTGTTCATCTACGAAGAAATGCGACAAAGCATTTCACCTTGAAAGCAATCTTCAGATCCATTCACAAGCTTCTCCAAGAGGATATGGACGAGGCTGGCAGAGAGCCGATCTTGAAGCAGCTAGCGTCGTGTCAAAAAATCACCCATCCTAACCTTGTTCAGTATCTTAGCATCATTGACAACAAGAAAGGCAGCTGCTTTGTCATTCAGGAATACATTGAGGGGGATCCCCTGAGCGCCATATTTTCCGCTAGTAATTCTGGGTTTAATTTCCGTAACCAACAGACTCGTCTAAGTTTTAATGCCGGTCATGATGCGTCCAACGACACGGGGATCACCATGGCAAGACTACGAAACCTTCTTTCAGACGTTTTGTGTGGCGTTGTGTGTCTTCATGACAATGGTATTCCACATCTAAGCTTGCGTCCCTCGAACATTCTCTATGATATGGAGTCGGAAAAATTCAAGTTAACCGATTATGGCCCGCTATTCCTCACCTTGGACGAGAACTTAAAGAACGCTGTACAAAACAAGCCGTTCTATCGCCTTCCATCCTGGATTTTGAAATCAAAGCCGGATGATGCATTTATGGTGGATACTTTCTGTGTTGGTCTTCTTGCTGCGTCGATCGTGCCCAAGGTGTTCACCGAGGCGTGGCCTCAGCTATACTGTGCTAAAGGAGAGATACCTCTCTCAGTCGACAGCGTTCTGAAAGCGGTTTCCTCGTCCGACAAGCCCCTTCAGACGAATCTCATTAATTTTATTCATACCGCGCTGTGCGATCGCATGACTGCGAGGCAGCTTCTGCAGCACCCTTACTTTGAGGGCGAGTTTGACAAGTTTTTGAGTGAGCCCCAGAAGGTGGAACTCTCCTCGGAAGATCTTTCACGAGCCATTCTTTCGAAGCCAGAGGAACGCGATGAGCCTCGCATCCTTGAGGCCCTTGGGTGGGTTTCATTCTTGTCAAGTCCCGTCCCCAGTGCTATTGTCGCGGATACAGGTGAGCTGTCGTTGAGCAATGACAAACCGATTATTGTCAACTTTAGGAGCTCTGGACTTCAATGCACGTTATGTCAGGCAAAGATTTCCCTCGCGCTGTACCGTTGCCCTCAGTGTGAAGACTGCATCCGGTGCGGAAAGTGCGCCGTAAACGACAATCATAAGCCCGGCCACCAGCTCATGCCCTTCCTCGTAAATATTACTGAGCACAAAAAGGACGGTAGCGGCAGCGCCCTGCTCTGTCATCCTTGCTCGATTCTCGATGTGCATGCGCTGGAGATGATTGAGATGCAGGCGAACTTCCCTGTCGGGGCGCTTTCAAAAATGGCAAACAGCAAGCGATTCTTGGAGCGATCTCTGGTGCATAGTATGGCCTTCAACCCCCCTAACACTAATGCGAATGTCTCTAGTCGTCATATACTAGATACCAGCTACGCGACTTTTCTCCAGGATTCAGCCGAGGATAGCTCCTCCAGCGCTAGCATCCACGCTTCTTCCTTCTCGAAAAGGTTTTCGTCAATCTTCTCTTCCGACTTTCAAGGGACTATGTTGCAAAACTCTCAATGCTCACCCTTTTTCCTAAACCCGCGGTCCTCCTTTAAGGAGACTGTTATTGGCTCTGGTAACCTTAGGAAAGGTCGAAGTCTGAGGCTAAATTCCCACAACACACAGAGCAGCTTGGAGAAAAACATTTCGCATACGAAGGGTGATGTCAAAGTGATCACTCTACCTAAGGCGCAAGATGTGGAAGACATCACGTGGCAAGAGGAGCTCGAGCGCTGTCGTAGAACAAGCCAAACCGATCTCCTGCTGTTTAATTACGCCTTCACAGAAGTGCCGGCTGAGGTGTTCATGCCGCCGCCCTCACATGTGGTGTATTTGGATTTATCGCAAAACGCTTTAACGTCTCTTCCGGACGAGTTGAGCTGCATGGTACACTTACGTAAGCTTTTGGTTTCTTATAACAAGCTTACAGCCCTGCCAGACACGATTGGAAATCTCACCGAGTTGGAGTTAATTGATGCGAGTCATAACACCATTGAGTATCTGCCCGATACCTTTTCTTCACTGGTCAACCTGCAATCTGTTGCGATGGATTACAACAACTTTAGTGAGATACCACGTTGTATGTTGTGCATCCAACCGCCCAAGGCTAGATCTGGGCAGTATTGGCAACAGGGTCCTTTAGCATCGGTGGCATCCCCTGTCCTTACCAATTTAGGGAACTCCGATTCGCCAGAGCTCAAGGTTCTTTACCTAGCTGCGAACGACCGCATCACCACGTGGCCGGAGATTGATAAGTTTAGACGCTTTGAGGCGCTCACAATCGCCTTGGATAATGAGCCCGCCCTCTACCGTTCTTACCTAACGCAAGGCTTGGAAAGTGAGCTCCCGAACATTACCATCAACTGGAATAAGATTTACCCCGATGAGATTATTCCTCATCTCTATTGTGGGAGTCTTCGTTCGGCTCAGTCGCAGATGGTTTACCGCAAGTTAGACATTTCCTACGTGTTGACGATTGGCCGCGGGTTGATGCCGGTGCCCCCTGACGGTGGAAGCCACAAAGTCATCGTTGTGGATGATATTCCAGGTGCTGATATTTCCTACTCCTTTCAAGAAGCCGCTGAATTTATCAACGAAAGTCAGGCGAAAGGAAAGGGCTGCTTGGTTCACTGCTTTGCGGGTCTCTCCCGCTCGGCGACGATAGTGATTGCGTATCTCATGTCCGAGAAAAAGATGCGGATGGACGAGGCTTATATGTTGACGAAAAAAGGAAGACCAGCGATTTTCCCTAATAAGGGTTTCTTTGAACAGCTAATTGAGCTTGACAAGAGACTCTATCCAAATGCAAAACGCCCGCTCAATATAGAGCAGCTAGAGCGCTCCCCAGAATCTTAGGTAAGAATTTTAAAACAGGGAATCGAATGTTCATCTAACGTTCTACATTTAGCTTTCTTTGCAAGTGATATGGTCATGGCATACTCACGTGTATGCATAGTTTCTTTCTCAGGATGTCTTTATGTCATCATTGCTAGCCAAGATCTTTTATTATTATATTCCCTGCGTTTTTTTTCGCAATCGGTATTTTCTTTATTTTTCACAATATATGTTGGACCTATCCTATTTGACTCGTGAGATTTGAGTACACCAAACTGCACACCGCTACATTCTAATGTATATTATGCTGACATTTGTCAAATATATTTCAATTACTGTTGAATAGCTGATTAATGGTATTTTATTGATTTACTGTGCAGGAACATATCACCCTTCTAGATGATGCCTTGTAATATTTTTTAAAAGTATCTTTTTACACACTTACACGTGTATAATATCTATGTCTCTATATATGTTTTTTTTTCGATGTAAACTGAGCTTTGTATGGATTACTTTTTCTTAGGGTTCAGTCCAAGTTTAACTCCCGTTTCGATATGTTTTTCCGTTGCCTTATATGTGTGTAGAATTTCATGTTTCTCGTTGAGATTCACTTTAATACTCAAAAAAGTGCGTATAGGGTAAACGATTTCTAGAATGGGGGAGGAGGATTGAGGATTGTTAGATTTGCTTTCTAAGCAAATTATTGTATGGCTAGTTTACATATTTACTTTTATTTGTGAATATTAGACATTTTCTATATGCACACAAAAATGTAGCACATGAGCATGCCTATGTTTTATACTTATTTACGGTGATATTTTTTGTTTGATAGAAAAAAATTTCAGGAGAACTTATTCCTTTCGTGTCGCCAAGTTGCGCTTTTTCGAAGCAGTAATAATTTTTTCGTAATTATCTTATGTAAGCGTGGAATAAATATTATTGTTCTAGACTTATGACTTTTTTTCACTATTCTGCGCAATAATAGTTTTTTCACATTGTGATGATCATGCAAGCAATTCAATCATATATCATTACAGTATTTCTGCATGCATATACATACATATATATCTGTGTGTTCCCCAACAAAATCTTTAAAACGCAGACATCCTTTTGTAAACTAATGACTATTTTTTTTTCTGGAGTTTCTTTTTTATATTATCGCATTTATTTTGCTAATATAGCCCCTCGCCTGCCTTTTCCCTCACATCATCACAAAAGAGTTTAGTTCAGCGCAAGTGCTTCTTTCCTCTTTTCGCATTGTCTCCCTTTATTTGTGTGACGTGATTGAATGTCGAGCAACTTCCACATAGGATTACCATGGTCTCCCGATAACTTCCCGATTGACGTCTTATCCTACGATACAGCGCTGGAGCAGCTCCTACGCGCGAGCGTAGTATCCGACGACGGTTTGATGGATTACGGGCTCAGTCAAGCCCTGCGGGGATTGTGTTTTGCCGTCAAAAGTGCCTCTCGGCCTCTTCAAAAGCCAGGCTCCGCCCTTCATCTGGAGCCTTCATCATCCTCCAACGCCCTGCTTTCAGGCGCGGGGTGGGTGCGGGGTTGCGAGGCGGTTTTCGATCTCATGTGTAAATCCGCTGTGGCCGATCCTAGGCACCTCCCGACCGTTTCCTACCTCTCCAGACGTCTTTTATCGGATGAGGTCTCCAGCTTCGGGGAGGGGAATGAACGGCCGTGCTGCACGCGGGAATGGACGCAGGTGCTTTCGTTGGAGACCCCCATCCCAACGTCGTCGGAGGCTTGCAACGCCCTTTCCACGCACAGGGAGGTTTCATCGGGGGCGAAGTCGTACTTTTCATCCCATTTTAACACGGATCGACGCGTGCAGCTGGGGTACCTGCGGATGCTAGCGGGAACGCTTCGCCTCATCGCCACCGATCCCACCCCGCGCTCGCATCTTTTTACCGATCACCTCAGCCTCGTACGCGGGATCGTGGAGGAGGTCCTTCCACGCGTTTCGAACCTCGCGGAGGCGAAGGAGACTGGCAATTTACATCCCGTTGTCGATCCCCGCGGTGGTGGGATGATCACTGAGGGTGGCTCGCATTCGTTTGCGCTCCCCGACGCTGGCGAAGCGCGTCCGTCGAGGCTGGCGGTGGAGGCGAACCACTTTGTCATCCACTGTGTGCATTGGCTTTGCACGGATGTGGTGGTGGTCTACCACGCTCTGCGGGATGGCAACCAAAAAACACGGAAGGTGCTTGATCGAGACGCCCCTTTGATGCTTTGGCGGACGGTAACCTTAGCGCGGAACGCTCTTCGGCGCGGTCTTTCCTGGATTCGATACGAAATGGAGTCGATTTGGTTGAAGACGGCGGCTATGGTGCCGCCCACGCAGCGCGTGCACGCAGGTAGTGGGGTTCTATCCTCTTCTTCTTCTTCGAAGAGCCCCTCCTCGAGCGCGTACTTAGCGGGATCGGAGGCCGCGGAGTGTGGCCTTTTAGAACAGGTTTCCCGCCACCTCGAGACGACCATTACGAAGGTGTTGAAAGCGCAGGAGGAGCTCGACTGCGCGCGCGCCGCTGCTGCGAGGCGCTACGGCGAGGCTTCCAAGGATTACATCCAGATGAGTGAGGTGATGTGGGCGAATACCCTCCGTCTTTGTCTGATGCTGCAGGGGCTTACCCGATCGTGGATGGGGATCCACGGCGGGCTGGGTATCTCCAGCACCGACGCCGGCTTTGTGATGGAATCGAATAAAGACGTCCTGGGGTATATCGGAGCCTGCGTGGGATCCATCCCGTCGCTTGAGGGCCGTAGCGAAGACGAAGCTTACCTTACGCAGGCCTCTCATGCCCTGCTATCCGCACTGATCGCCTTTGCCGCGGCCGCCCCGCTGAGGTGTATGCAGGCGAACTTATGGATGTCGGATCCGGATTGCACTAGACAAATACACGGGATTCTCATGCAGAGGGTTTTACGTGCGCGAAATGAGCAGCTGCAACAAATGGCCGCGCTTTTGGCCGGATCGATCCTGCACAGCACGTCCAGAGATCTGTCGATGCAGCTGACCTCCGAGGTATCGAATCAGCTCTTGGACGTCCTCTCCGAATCTCGGGATGCGGCATCGCACTACGCGATCGAAATGCTCACCGTGGCGGTGGTGCAAAAGCCGCACGCCCTGATTCCCTCCCTTTTTCGTCTCCTCGAGGTTGGGAGCCCCTCTACGCGGCGGAATGTGTTGGATGTGCTCGCGGCCCTTCCGAAACTCCCCTCCTCTCGGGATGCCCTCGCGCTCGACGGCGGGGGCGGCGGTGGCGACCCCGCCTTGGCGGATTCCCGCGCGCCCGCCATCCCCTCCCCACCCGCGAAGGATCCCATGCGGGAGGTGCTCCGACTCCTCGCGGAGAACCTCCTCGCGCAGTTGCACGACGAGGAGCTGCTCATTCGCATGCAGAGCGCGGCGTTGTTTGGCAAGGTCTGGCCGGAGGACGTCCTTGAGCCGCTGCTGAATCTTTTCTGCAAAACCGACCCCACCGGACGGCGGCAGTCCGCGATCCAATCCAGCCTCCTCGCGGTGATGCAATCGCATGCCGAGGACGCCCACGTCGTGCGGATGCTCCTGCGGGAGGCTTTTCGCGCGCTCGCGACCGGCCCCTCGCCGGCGGGCGGGATTTCCACCCC